GTCCCTTTATTTGATGCCCATATCAACGGTAGTGCAACGAAAAAATTGATCCACTACCTCGTGACGTCCATCATCATTAATCTGGAATCAACACAGTTAGTTTGTCGCTTTCCACTCTCCAAGTCCCGTTATTTGATACCCATATCGGTGGTATTATTAAGAAAAAGCTAATCTGTCAGATCGTTGTGACCACCATATTTATTTTAGAATTGACGCATTTCTAGGCACGTACTATGTCTTCATTTGAGGAATGTACAAAATAGTTTGAAATATTTTGTCCCGTTTGTTTGGTCCATTTTCAATAGGGACCTAATAGAAAAACTTCCAATGTTTCTACCAAATTTGAAGACGATATCGTAATTTTTCACAACCAGGAGAATGTCAACAGCACACGCCACACAGGCACACAAGTAAAAACGGGTTAACTATTTTAGAATTTCATGCTGATCCAAAATATGTATATACTTTATAGGGTCTCGGAAGCTTCTTTTTGCGTTTAGCACACATTGTGACAAAATGTACAGTACAAGCTCCATTCTTCAGTGATGGGTATATGTAATAATGATAGAAATATGTATGTGTTCGCATAGTTTCAGTCGCATAGCATTTCACAAGAAACTTTAACAAACGCATGTCTCTTGGAATTGGGGCGCAAAACGTTCGGATCTTTTCGAAGAATAAAAGACAAAAATTTGTGTAATTACAAGAAAGGAAAGGTTTACGCATAACTACGTTAACATTCCATTTGAAATAGTGAAAAAACATTGTTTGCTATTCCCAAATACGTTTTGATTGATTCCAGAGAAATGCTGACATGCCTGAAAGTACTAAAAATCAAATATATTTATACGTATTTGCAACACAACCAGAACAGAACCCATATCCCATTCGTGTGTGTATTAAAATCACTATTATCGGGAAAACTGAACTGAGATTTCGAAAATTTTTCACTTTTACTTCCATTATTTCAACACATTCACATTAAGCTATAAAACGATAATTCTTCACTTATAAACGCATAAAAAAAAATACAAAAAAAAACATTGATACACAATTTAGCAACAACTGCAACTAAAGGCATAGAAAGTGAAAAGTTTTCTCGGGAATTGTACGGTGGATGGAAAAACTTCTTTTAAAAACTCTTAAGAGGACTTGTGCAAATAGTTGGTGTTGCGGAATAAAGTTGTCTTTTTTGTTTATCAAGGGCATAATCGTGAGCTGCTCACCCCTTTTCTCGCACCGAGTCTTTTTCTTTTTTTTTTTTTTTGATAAATATTTATAAGAAGCTTTTAGATAACTATTCTCCAAAGATTTTGAGTTACAGTCTTTTTCTTATAATGGTATGGGTAGCAGCGGACGCTCCACTTCGAATTATGAACCTGCCGTAAATATGTCGACTAGCAATATATAGCGCTCTACAAGTTTTCTGACCTATTAAAAAATTATCTTTTTTTTTTCTGGAAATTCGACTTTTTTTCATTAAGATGCTCTCCTTCAAGATAATATTCATTCAGTCCAACGTTGTATGACTTTTGTAAAACGATTTGCCTCTGCTCTCGAAACAAGCCTCAGTTTCGGCCACGATTACCTCAGGTTAAGCAAAACCACTTTTCGTAGAGCATCTCTTTGGTATCTGGGGACCAGATATGCTGAATAAAATAGGTGGGGAAGCAATTGCAATCATAATTCATTCAATTCATACCATCGTTTTTATTGACTTGTAACACCGAGCATTGCTTCGGTGAAGGAATACTTTTTCTTGGCTGCTTTGGTTGGTGCAATCTCTTTGCTCTCTAAGGTCTGTTCTAAGCAATCTTCTTGCCGCAAAAATTAAGCTATCGACATCAAGTTTGGCAGAATCGTTACAAGCTCTTGCACGCAGATTGGCATTGAAAATGGGTCAAACATGTTGAAGGGCAGTTCTCTGCTTTTCAAAGGGAATAAAAAATTGGTAAGGTGCACCAGATAAATCGACAAAAATTGAAATGTATATTCAACTTGTGATGGTGTAATACCTCTAAAAATAATTGAAAAAATCTACCACGCCTACTCAATTTTATACTGTGTCATAATTTCATTGTTTTTTTCAATACCTTTATAACGTCCAGAAGAAAACTCCATAAAGCGTATAAATTCTTGGCGATTTTCAAGTTCGGAATGCACTTACGCAGGTCCGTCCGCTTATCTGTCCATGTGTCCATCTATGCAGCTGGATAGTGCTTGTCGTAAAAATTCTCCAGTTCGTAAAAATGAACATATCGCAGGTAAACTTGTAAAAGAATTTGAAAAAGGAGTCAAAATTTTCAAAGAGCACGCCTACAATACACCCGCATGCATTTCCACTTTTATTTTAAAAATAGAGAAATCAGTCACATCCACCCATTAGTACAAAGTATGAACACTTATTTCTTTTCCTTGTTTTTTTAAGATCACAGTGACGGGTATAAAAAAATCATTCACGATTGAATATAATTTTCTTACTTGTTAATAAATGATCTTGAATTTTGAAATAAATATATATTCAACGATAGGGATTATAAGAAAATGCAAACATAGTTCTGCTAACTGAGAGCTATTTTGCCTAAATGACAACAATTTCCTTCTGTAACAAGCAGAACGATAAAGAAGATGAAGAAGGAAAAACAAAAATTCCATTTTACCTACGCTCACACACCTACACATTATTTTTATTGCTAAGTTAGGGGGTTGGCAATATCGTATCGATGCTTTGTTTAATCTAAATTCGTTTCATCAGTTTCGTTTGCCGATAGTAGGAGTCATGTTAGTTTCATTTATAACAAAATTGGAATCAGTTGGTCTTTAGTCCGGAGTTCGACTTAATGCATATCCAACTGAATCCATATTTATTGAACGAGAAAGTGATTTGAAGAAAGTTTAATATATATATAGACCAAATGGAAATATTTACGCCATTGAATTGAAGCAACCTGTCGAAGACGTTTTCTTTGATATACGGACCAAACCAATTTGCTTATTGAGAATAGGCCAGACCTAGTTAAGCATTTGAATTATACGCGTGCGATAAATTGCGTTACACATTTCATTACCAGTTAAGCAACGTTGCTAACCTTTGCTGCTATGTTGGGCATTAACCATGATCTGTAATCATGTTCTTATTTCTACGGTTAAGAATTTGCAGTTCTATGTTTCCGAAAGAATAATAGGTTAAAACAAGCAACAAGTTGGGTATACGCACTTTATATGATGCACATATTCCCGTCCCTGATTCGACCGCCATGTTATTAGCTTGGTCGCAGCTATGGACAATGCATAGTAGGTCTGATACGCGATTAGGGTTGCATTGATTGATTTTTTTTTAATCAAAATTCCGTTACGCCTAATGTAATAAGCAAAAGTGTAATGTGGTAAAAGTGATCGGCTTTTATCACTGTGAGCAGATGACTTAGATATAAATGCCGATAATGCGGAATTCATAAAAATATTGCCTACAATCATTGATTTATTAGGTTCTCTCTTCAAATGTTTCACAATTTCAATGCATTCATCTCCCGTTATACCAATGAATTGGGTATTTGTTCATCAGTATATTATCAATAAAATCACATACAATGAGCTGCGTGGACGTTTATCCTAAATTTCCCAAGATATTATTACTCTCTGAAATTTCTCAGATTATTACTCGTATTATATATATTCTCTGATTATTGAAAATTAACTAAGTCTGTACGCTTGTTACAAAAGAATGTAGAATATCGTTCAATTGCTATTTTACCTCCTCCATCTAAAGTCTTCGAAAAATTGATACACTATCAGATTTGTAATATTATTCGCATAAATTCTTTATTATTCTATTGTCATTCGCGCAGCGTTTTCCCTGATGTCATTTATGTTAAGTGGTATTATTCGCTGAGGACCGCTTTAATATTAAGATTGTACAATTTCCGTGTTGTAAATTAAGAAACTCCTCTTAATCCTTTCTTTGATAATATTTCGCAATCTTCGCTGAGTTCCTGGATCAGAGACATGTGTTCATAAGAGACGAAACACGATCCAGTTACTTTAGAATTCTGCTTGTGGTTATGTAATTATGACCACACACAATATATATATATATATATATATACTATTAATGAAATATTAAAATGTTATTGCCTTTGCTTAATCTAGGTCAGTAAAAATACACACACGTGTTTATGCAAAATATGCATTAACTATAGTCAAGTGTTAATGGACTGTATTAAAACTGCACAAATTTTCCAAGTTATGCATAGTGTCGGTATCCCAAAAAAGGCGAGGAGTGCCGCAGGGGTATACTATTGAATTGAATTGTTATTTTCATTGTACAGCAAGGACTATTCAAACCGCTTCAAATGGCGTCATATATCATTATATATATGCCCGACGACATAGCAGTTGTTTTGTGAGAATGCTGATCTTGAAAGCGTCGCTAGGCAGGTTATAATAAATAATCAATCGTTAAATCGACAAAGAATTAAATTTGTTGCTATCTATAAGCGGGCAGTCTTGCCAATTCAGTAGTCAATGCCAATTTAATAAGGTCTCGAGTTGAAAGAGTAGAGACGGTATAGCCAATGATTTATCACAATAAGCATTTGCTAGCTAAAGTGTAACTAGTCTCAATGCTTTTGTATGGATGCGAGTTATACGCAAATTGCGGCCACTTACCCAAGCACGGACCCAATATAATTATAATATTGTCCATTACATGTATTGCATGAAAAGATATGGATTTACGCATATCACTTACTTCACGTGTTTTTAACGCTTCATTAGAGTGCCTGACATTGTATCTGCCTCAAAATGTAGTCACACATTGAGAACTCAGCTCCCTTTCTCATGCTCTTCAATGTACGCGATCACAGATCAGAACAGTACGATACTCTTCACTCATATCTAAGACTCAATTATTATTATTTTTATTTCATTTATAATCTTTTCTCCTTTCCTTGGTTTTTGTTTTGTTTTTTACTTTTTTAATTTATTTAACTTTAATTAAGTAATATTCGTCTCATTTAATTATTCCATTTTTAGTTCTTATCCTTTATAATTTCATTGTATGGTCCTCTCTATTCCTTACTGTTTTCGTTCTTTAATTTATTTATATTTAGTTAAATAAATTCATTTATGTCATGATATTATCGTACATAGCAACTAACCCATTACTTAATATGTCTTAAGCTGATGCAATGGCTTATATGAGAAATAATCAAATACTAAAAAGAAAGAGTGTTGAGTTAATTAAATGCTTATAAAAATATATAATAGGTACATATTTATATATATATATATATATATATATATAATATATTAATATATAATTATATAATTAGAAATGCATATGTACAAAATTGAGTTTAGTATGCATGCGCATGTACACATGAGTGAATGCATGTATCAGAAATGGCACTTGTATATAAAATTAATGTATATTTAAATAATTGTTATTATGCTTAGTAGTTTCAATTCACAATTTTATAATGATTGCAAAGCATAGAAAACAGATTTGTAATAGTGTTTAAGATCGACTATAAAAATACAGTGAAAATTATTTACCTAATTATATAAATATCGCTCATAATCGCTTTTATTGAGATTTCTGGAAACAAGACATGCTTTCAAGAATAATATGAGGAAAATCTTAAAAAAAAAAAAAAAAAAAAAAAAACATCTAACAGGACTATAGTCGAGGAAGACCCTTCACTTTCGATCATTCATTCATTTTTGCGATCATTTTTGTTATATATCAAGTGGAATTGAAACGATAGATCTACACGGTCCAAGAAAGAAATAATAAAAAATATGGCTTTTTAACGTATGAAGATTAAGTTTCGGGGCCAAAACGCGTCAGTGCGTCAAATTTCATCGAGATTTTTCAAAACTTGTGGCCTGTCATTACAGGGACAGTCGACTGCAGTTGGATCGGTATAATGAAATGAGGGTCTATCTCAAGTTCTTGTGCGTTTTATTTGCATGCGTTACAAATTTACACCACACACACAAGTGGTATAAATTATAAGAATCCAAATAATTTAAAAAAAATGTTAATAAAAGCCAACACTTTTAAAACTTGTCACTGTGATCGACAATACCTCTCACTTTTCTGGGTCAAATGTCAATTTTTGGACATTTTCTAATTCTAAATTTCTAATCCGCAATTTGATAGCAGATACTTCAAATCAACAGAAAAATAATTTTGTTGTTGTACCGTTACACGTCATCCAAGTCGTCCAATTTACAATTGTCTGATGCATCTGCCACCAGTATTATGTCCGTTGCCTTTTAGTGCGTATTTCCATGGTGCGATTTAGTAGACAAAAAAAAAAAAAAAAAAGGTGTAAATAGAAAAGAAAAGTAAGTAAGTACATCAATGTTGTAACACAAAACATATAAAACTTAATTGCTACCAGAAATAAAATCTCTTTTCCCACAAGCCTTTTAAATTCTTGGAATGGAAAGGATAATTTTTGGTTTAAGATTGTTAACGATAAGATCGCAAATATCGAAATTAGTTTAAAGCGTATAACTCCTGGTTATGTTTATTTCGATTTGCGAGAGAACATCGTTTCTGATATATGCAAAAGTCGGCCATTCTCCATAAAGAATTGAATTTAAATTCAAGCAAAGCTTAATAAACGTCTGATATTTGAAAATGTTTATATATTTTATATATAATATATATATGGATTTTGCAAAGTTACATTTTTAAATTCAAATTTAATGAAAAAAAATTTTATTTTGAATTTTTTTGGAATTTTTTTTTTAAATGTTTATTTATTTTTTTTTTTCTCTTTTTTCTTTTTACTAAAAATATAAATTTTACTCAAAGAATTTGTTACTTTAGTATTTCATACTTGTGGCCACGAAAAGTGGGGTGTACTGGTGTTTATAAGATTCTTATGCAATATGCAGTGACAACAACACCTTCAATAGAAAACTGGCCTCGCCAGAAAGGCAAGCGCATTTTCACGAATTTCGAACGTTCTCCTCTTCACCGTATTTCACTATTTTTTTTATTTACTTTTTTTTTCAGCGAAGCCGTAATACTAATACAGAAAAGAACAGTAATAATAACTCACAGTTTTTAACTTAAAGTCCTGATTTTCTGTTGCTCAACTATCTAAAGTATTATATTTTAATTTTCTTCTCTTTTCCTTTCCTTTCGTTTATAAGCTTTGCTTCCTATTTCAGGAGGTCACAAGACATGACAGTATGAAAAAAGGTATCGTAAATTTAACAATAAACAAACAAAATATTATATAGAGAAAGAAAAAAATTTAAAAATACATAATGGACAGAAAAGAAGAGGAAAAGAAGTAAATTTTCTCGTAACACGGATCAAATTCATTATGGACTTTTTAGTAAATAGTGAATGCGAATGCACGAATGCGTGAGACGACCGTTGAGTAAAACATGAAATTATATGAAATAGTTTGCTATGAGTTTCATAGCATATTTCATAGTCATCCATAAAGTGTTTCGCCCCTAAAATCATTGCTCAGATATGGCGCGACTTGGTTTCAATTTCATTCTGGCCATTGTATGTCCTTTATATTCCTCTCCCCTTTAGTAAAAATTATCTTCATCAATTATCACTTATTATACCATCGCCATAATAAACGGGCAAATGTGAACGCTGACAAAAAGTTTGCAAAACATATGACGTACATGCGACATACATCATGAATATGAAATAACATTTTTAGGATACTTATACATGTTGCTTGGCCCTCGTAAAAGAGAATTAAGGAAAATGAAATTCTAATGAAGAAGAGTTTTTTTTTTTGTTTGTTTTTCTTAAAAAGCCATTAAATCGATAGAAAAGAGACAAGTCAATGGAACGGAAATAAGATGTAGGAAGGAGTTTAGGCAAATGTTTTATGTTTGTGTAGAAAGCTATAAATTCTGAAAATGAATTGAGATTAAATGGTTAAACTCGTTATAAGTGATTAAGGAACAATTTTATGCTATTTGCTATTGTCGCTGTGTGTTAAAGTCACCTACCCAAAGGCAGAAGGTTTCTTTAATCTGTTCACCGCGCACATTTTCACTGCCGTCTTAAACATCAATTGTATAATTACTGAAGAGTAAGACCGAAGAATTGGTTGATATTGTACTAGTACTAGAATCTCTTTCTTCGTTATTTGCTTACAGCGGGACTTTGGTACCAATGTATAAAATCTATAAATTTTGTATCTAAGTAAGTGCTCTTACAAACTAACAAACTAACAATTAACGTAAAAAACAAACAAACAGACATACCATAACCAAACAGTGTAAAAAAACCTAAAGAGGGATAAAACTATCGAAGGATTTGTGTATCCGGTCTTAATAGACCTCTAATGAGTATATAAAAATATATGCGAAATATATACATGTATATACAAAGGGTATATGAATGAGCAAATATTTCTTGATGGCAAACTCTGTTTTATATAACATTACCCTTTATTTACGTATACATAATGCTTATTTATTCCGCTCTTTAAAAAAAAAAAAAAATAAAAATAAAAAAATAAAAAAAAAAATAAAACATTTTTCATGAATATATTGTAGAAAAACATTACATTTGGATTGCTTTTTTCTTTACAGTACGAAAAATATCATAAAAATGCATAAACCAAGCGGACGGCTATGGCAAAACGAAACACATAAATTTCAGTTAAGATAAAAACTAGCAGAGGAACCATTTATCCCTTACTTCTTCCTGAAAGAAATAATCCCCAAAATAACGTTACGTTAAATTATAAAAACGACTGATTAAACCGGAGTGTCCGCAAAATAGATAAAGACACATCTTAAAGGGGATCGGCGGCAAGTCCACGAAGGAAATGTGCTCAAAAACTCAATTTTGTTTTCTAAACTTACGCACATATTTAATATATTTATGCTGTTATCTGTTAATTGTGGTGGCGGCTGGCAGCCGCACCGTAAACGGTCTAAAATGTTATTGCAATCCCAAAGAATGTGACGTCATACGTTCGTTGGACTGTCCAGGCAAGGGCATGATGCTTTGGGATCCTTGCAAGTACGTTAAATAAAATTTAGAATCAAAATATTAACAAAAACAACAACAACAACAACAACAACAAATTTCTTATTATTATTATTTTATCCAAATTTGTGTTTAATTTAATTTTAAGATGCTGCCGTATTTGCGCCAAAACTTTAGGCGAGACCTGTGGCGGACCGGGCGAATTTTCCGGACAATGTGAATCGCCCTTGCAGTGTGTCATAAAACTACCGATCTCTAATGGCCTGGGTGTATGCATGGGTAAGTTAGCCGCCGCTGAATATGAAAATATTTTAAAATGAAATCATAATATAAATAAAAGGGATAGAAGCAACGACAGGATAATAATGAAAATTTAAGTAAAAACTAAATAAAAAGTGAAAATCACTGAGGAAATTCCATACGTTCTAGCAGTTTCACTTCACTATGAGTTTTTTTTTTTTTATATTAAATATACGCGAAATCACGACGTTTAGATTGCACATAACCCCTATATATGTACTGTGTGTGGTTTCCATATACTTTAAAAAAAAACTAAAGGGGATATATGCCCAATTTTAAATGCTTCGCTGACGAGGATTAACCTAAAGGCCGATATCACAGATTTTTTGACAAAAAGACAGAATCGTCTCACTAAGAATTCATTGTCAATTAGACGATGAAATTCTTCAAGTTCAATATCAAAATTATTTCCAGCTCTGCGCTGTGTTGCCAAAGGAATTCTATTTAACATATCTTCCTAATAAAAAGGTATTGCTATTGATTTTATAAAATTTTTACCAACAATAGATCAATAAAAAAAAAGTGTTGTCGTTACTGAAAGCGGACTTCGGATGAGTTGAGACCGTTTACGCACTCCTTGAGTGTCCTTGCCCATTGGGACCAGTACAAATCAATATCTTTCAAAAGCATTCGACAATTTTAATATAATAAATGACATAAAGTTGAAATATTTGTAACAACGCGAATACTTTTTTCTCGTTTTTCTTTTTGCTGGTTATACTTTCATTATTTTTTTAAAAGAGTTTTACGACAGAAAACACAAAAAATTATTTATTATTATATTGTGCGCAAAATATTTATGCTATAAAGAAGAGCTTGGAACAATATGAGAGAACGACTTAAAAACCATAAACTTCAGGGCTAAGGTTTTTTTTATAGATTTATTTATTTATTTATTTTTTTTATTTTTTTTTATTATTTTTATTATTATGTTTTTTTTTTTTTAGTATGTATACCCTATCTATAGGTTTAATGCATTCGAATTCCCTACAATATTTTATAGCTTTAGAATTATAGGGAATATCTAGCTATCTATCTCATGTGGTATTGGAAATGTCTTTTATATATCAAAAGCAGGAGTATTGTGAAAATAACGTTCACATTAGTTTAAGGTTTGTATAAAATATTTGAAGGAATTGAAAAAATTTTAGAAAGAAAAAGAACAAAAATCGCACTTCTCCGCTATAGTTTAAGGTTTATTTAAAAATAAGAAAATTTTTTTATATGTTTTAGCAAAAGGCGAAATATGTTGTAGTTTCTAAACAGAATAATCTAAAATTTGATTTGTAAAGTTCTTCCCAGTTATTTAATATATACGTATATATATAAATAAGCGACATAACATCCATTCATCTGTACGTGGACTTGTGTATCTATTCTTTCGACTGTTCGAAGCCAGGAAAGAGAATGAATCGGGAGCAGTATGTTTTTTAAAGAACACTTCTTTTTGGAACAGCCGCACTACTATAATGGTCTTATAGCATCGTGGACCTAACAAGTATTAACAAAATTGAGAGAATGACAATAACTAGGCTTTATGTATGTGAACATATACTTGATGAGATAGAGTTGGTTTACAAACCGGCCCTTTATAAGGAAAAACATAGTATTTATGTAGTTGTATGCTTTTTAAATTTCTGAGGTGTCACCACTACACGAATTAAGAGAGAGAGAGAGAGAGAGAGAGGGATGTCTCATCCACTCATCTTTCTCCTTCGGTTTTACCTTGACCTTGGGAGTGTTTGTGTGACGATGATTATCCGGGACTTGATGGTGTTCAGATAATCCTTACCTTGCCCAGGGGGGCAGAACTTACTTCTGTCAGCAATAGCGGCTCCCCATATATGGCGGGAATAGTCTGTTCCCTGCGCGGCGGTGGTTAACACTTCGACATTTCAAATTATCTCATATACTATTCGATTCGGCAATTAAACATTTCTGTACGAACGTTTACCCCTATGAGCCATCTTCCCCTCTGTCTCTTTATCTAGCCGTTCGTCGTGTGTGAGTGCCGTTGTCCATCTATCTAATTTTCTTTTCTTTTTTTTTTTTTTGTATTATTCTCGAAACAACAATCAAAAATAAATGCAATATGGCGAAAAAGTTGGGAAGATCTTAGGCATATTTCCGATTTCGTCTCAGGAATTAGGTTTGCCAAAATTGCAATAACGTAAACACTAAAAAAGGATTAGAAAGCCCGAAGAAGTTGAAGAAAACTTTTCATTTTTGCACATATGCACATCTCTACGTACTCCCGAACTTCTGACTGCGTTTGTGATTTGACTTTGGAATAACTGTGGCTGGGTAACTGTGGTTACTATCATAGCCAGTATTATAAAGGTATTGCTTAAGCCTTTTGAATCAGCGAAGCGCAAAAATTAAGGCGAAAAGAAAGAGAAAAAGAAGAAGCAACGAAATCATTTTTCATTATAACATTGCACTGAAAGTAGCTGGATAGGCAAAATTATACTCCAAGTTGTTAAAACATTCGCCAAATCTAATCAGTTTTGACATTGATCGGTTAGTAAATCACAAAACAATAAAAAAAAAATTTATTCGTTACAGAAATTTTTGGCCAAATGAAAATTATAATTAGTTTTTGCAACGAATTTTAAATTGCTCCATCCAGTGTTATGCAACATAATCAATATGTTTGAAACGCAATTTATTATTGCATTAAATCATTTTGGCATTCGAGCGACGATATGAAAACTACCATCTGTCAATAAACAGCTTCTCCTTTTGACTATTCATCTATTTTTCATTTTGTAACTTTCCGCCGCGTTCGAAACTGTGCTGTAGTTAGTTCGTTGTTAATCAAATATAGTGACGCAACAAACATCAAACAACGCAATAATAGAAATATTGCGCAACAAATATGTAACCGACCGCAGTTTGCTTTTTGTAAAAGAAAACTACTCGAATTTTCATTGTACAAATTTATTAATTAATTGCACATCTGCGAATCGTTTGCAAGTCTACTTTAACTTTTCTACATTCGCAATATATCTTAACTGAGTTACCTGCAACCTTAAATATTTTCATTTATAATTTTAATCAACTTACTTAATTTACAAAACAAATGAACAAATGAACGCTAACAACGCAACGCTAAGAAGATATTAGAATAAGCTTCAGTTGAACACAAAAAAAAAAAAAAACAAAAAAATAAAACGATTACAAAGTTTCTTTGGCAAACAGAAAAAGCTGTTGCACAGTTTAGTTTCTTTCATCGTTACTGTGAATTCGAATCTTCTTCCGAACAACAATTAAAAATGATACGAAATTTGACAAGTTCAATAGCGATTGTATATCGTCGGCATCGCTAGATATCTTTCCAGTAAATTACGTTTATTACGTGCAAAACTGCATTCTATTCATTTATTATTTTGCTGGCAAATGCCTACATAGAAATAAGAGCCAAGAACGAAAAGTAAAAGTAAAGTGAAAAAATTTATTCACAATTATGAATATTTGAAATTTTTATGATACAACAATATAGGCAAAGGTAAAGAAAATTATATGAACAGTCAGCGAATCAGTCAGTCAGTCAGAGCATCAGTCAGTCCGTGTCAATGGGGAATGCTAGAGAAACATGATAATTGATTTTTTGTGGCAAGAATTAGATGATTACGAGTTGGACGCTATATTCAATTCGAATAAAACGATGCACTTGCCACACATTTCATGACAAAATCAATTTACTGCCATTCTTACCACATAAGTCGTGTGATGTAAACCCACCCAAATACTCAATGATTTCATTTGTTATAGAAATTCAGAGTCCTTCATAATGTACATGAAAGAAGATTTAAGTGTAAGAATGGGATGAATCTTCATCTGAAGTAAATATTGAACAAATCGATATTGGAAACGTTGGTATCAAAAATAGAAATCGAATCGATTAAAGGACATGCCTACAGTGTACAATTAGAGCAGAGAGGTAAATGATGAAAACTTTCACGTGCATATGTTCGACAGAAATGAAAGAATGATGAGAAGCCACTCGCATACAATATTAAAGACTATGAAAATTTAAATTTTATTTATTTATTTTTTTTTTTTTTTTTGGTCTTTTTCATGATACAAGTGCTGGGTATAAAGGATTCGATCGCAGCCGAATATGATTTTCTTGCTTTTGTGTGTGTGTTTTTTTTTATTATTTTTTTTTTTTTACTTGTTTTTATTTATATATTTTCTTGTGCAATGTTAGCAAAGAAAATAACATAAAGCTTTTTATTGTTGCTGTTGTGTTCATTTGAGGAATAACTTTTCAAATTAAATATACAGGCAGGTATCCGTATAAACTTTAGAAATATACAAGTATACTTTAGTTATACATGTGCATAGTCTGCATCAAGAAAATGCTTGTTTATTACAAATCCAATAAAAAAATAAAAAAAGTAAGAAAATTATAGTCACATAAAATTATTATTATTATTATTAGTATGCATCTGTTGTAGCTTATGGGGGGATATTAAGTAAAAAACCCGGAAAAATATGGTTTCAGAGTTTCAGTTCATGTTACGCGTCTCTGTTGATTGATTTGTTCCATTTCCGATATTCATTGGCTGGCAAGGACTTTCAAAGGTCATCAAATCATAAATTGAAGCTCAGATATTCGTTTTTGCCACCGCCGGGAATGTCTATCAAGAATTTTGGACAGACAAACAAACGAACGAAGATGAATATGCTTTTGTCGATTCAGATCTCGGTATACATTCTGATAGATTCACTGGGTTTCAAGCGTCGCAAACATTTTGACAAAATACACATGCCAACCAGTTTTCGGTGGCAAGTAAACTAGCAGCAGGCTTTTTCAAACGTATTAAGCAAATTTTTTTCATAAAAACTATTTTATCTCATCTATTGATTTTTGAAGGCAATCTGAGTTGAACTTAATTTGCAACTATCGATTCCAAGTTATGGTATTAATGTTGAATATTTATTTAAAACGAAATGAAATTTTTTATAACATT